TGGATTCGGTCGGCTCGGTACGCCCTGCTATATAATATTGCCAGCTGCCAGCAGAAAGTACTGGAGGATTCATTAGCTTAATGGGCTATATGTTGTGGGAAGGGAGGTCTTTTGACCAAGGTGTGGTGGCTCAAGTCCATCCTGGGTCAATGTGCTTCGGATCGGTTCGGTTCGGTATGCACCCAAAAAGGTACGGTTCGGTACGGTTCGGTACGATACTGCAGGAAAGTATTGTTGAAACGCCCATGGTTATTGGCTTTTCGAAAGGCGTCCCCAGCATGCTGAATATATGAGCCTGCATTTTTGATGGGGACCTTTCTCCGGACCAACATTGTTCAAAGGAGCCCCCTTTATTTCTATTATTTCCCATCGGACTCCCAGACCAGCCGGATGAGAGTTCGACTGAATGCTCCCAATAGAACCTTTTTGTTATATAAAGTCGAGGTCATTCCACAAGCTTTTTTGAGAAGTCTCAACCGAAACCGATTTCAACAAAGGAGTGTTGTGCAGCTTCTCATTTGCAGCTCCGCGGAATTGGATGGCCCTGAGGGCCACGGTGGCGCCCCGCTTCTTCATGCAGCGTACAAGACCCTCAACCCTGCTTTGGAAAGCTTTCGGAGAGTCCTAAAGCAGAAGCCTCAACTAGGTACTGACATTTTGACTTCGCAGTCCTTGCGCTGTTGAGAGTTTAAGAGTGTCACTTTTAGAAGACACCCCTGCCCAGATGCGAGTTTTGTTCTGCGCATGATGCAGGACCGAAGATTCAGGCTTCAGGCCACCAATCGGGAACCTACAACAGACCCCGAGCTACGCAGCGACTACCATGCTAATGCGCGAAATCTCTCTCCCTCTCTCTCCCCCTCCCTCGCTCTCCCTTTCTCTTCTTATCTTTGAGCTGTCTGCTTGAGTTGTCCGCTAAAGTCGGCCTCAGTTTGCCTGAGGTTGCTAACTACCTATATCTAGACCCACTAAAGCAGATGAAATGAGCACATAGGAACTTTCCCAAGATCTGCGAGATCCTGCTCGACGCGGGTGCCAACCCGCACGTGGCCTTCACGCGGACGGGTCACATCCAGCTGGAGAGCCCTCCGACAAAAACCCCTCTGGACAAGGACCACTGGCACAGCGTACTTTGCGAGCATAGTCAGGGTGGATGCTCCCTTCAACAGCTTCGCGCCGAGGGGATTACTGCTTTGCATCTTGCAGCTTGGCATGGAAGTGCCAGAGTCTGTTGGGCCTTGCTGCAAGCTTCCGCACGCCCGGACGCACGGGACACTGGGTTGTCGTTAAGTATAATTTCATGTATATCAGGTACCATAGTATATAGATACCGCAGGTAATGCGGCTTCCTAATCTAAGTCAAGTCGAAGTTCCTTCCCAGGACGCTCTCCATCGCTCCTCGTTAATGATCTCGGCCCAGCGAGGCCACCTGGAGGTCGTCCGGCTGCTGCTGGAGCCTCCAGGCTTCACCTGGCAGGTTGTCAAAATTACGTTTCCTTGGTGACTCCTAGGCACCGTGTTACACTAGGGACCCCAGCACGCACGCTAAGGTTCGCATGATTGAGAACGGCACCACAAAAAAATACGCGGGTGGATTCGGACGCCCATGCACGGAAAAAAGGACAATATCCACAACAAAAAAGATTAATCTCTGTCCTAGGGGCCCAAACCCTAAAACCTCGGATGAGGTTCCTGTATACAGCCACTTGGGAGCGTAGTAATATGGTAGTTTCCAAAGTAGGGGTCCCCTGATTTACATATACCCAACTCCTACTCGCTGACAGCCAGCCTCATATGCTATAGCGGTAAACCCAAAATCCGGTCAACAGGCGCAGAATCCCAAAATAGCTCTATTTAACTCCGATCCCCTAGAACCCTATGCAACCCCTCTGTCTTCAGACCCTAAGCCCGAAACTCTAAAACCGAAAAGCCCAGGCAACAGGCCCATCTGCATCCGAGCCACCAGGGCCATACAGCGCTGACCTTGGCCGCGAGAGCTGCTCAGAGCCTCGTTCGGACAAATGGGTTTAGAGTTTAGGGCTGAGGGATTTAGATTTAGTTTATGAGGAAACCCAATCATTCACAAGTAATGAAAGCTTTGTAACAGCAACCCAGGCAAAGGGTGCTGGGGATTGCTTCATAAGGGATCATGTAGGGGTTACATACTTGTTAAATCTTTTTTATGGGGTAGGGATCAGGTATTACCTGGGGTCTGGGTCACAGGGATGAATAGGGTTCGGGTTCAGGGAGTACTGCTGGATCTTACTAGGGAAATGAATGCATGGTAAAGTAAATGGGAACTACCATATGGTTAGGCATCGTATACAGGCTACTAAACAGACTCAGCGGAAAAGGATTTAGGAACACCCTGTACTCGAAAATGCTCCGACAAACACACTAAGCCTATAAACCTCAATCCGCAACTTGCAGCTCTTCCTGTGGCTGAGGATCTCGACAATCCAGCTCTTGCTGGATAGCAAGGCCGTACAGGGGTTAGAGACATATTTCTTGCGTCACTATCACAAATTTAGTCAAATTTAGCGGCATACCTTACATCCAGAGGGGATGGAGATGCAAAAGGTCAGCATCGTGTAGTGGTGCTTGTACGTTCCACCTGAACCAAGCGTTGCATCCGAGAAACTTGCAGCACATACGGGGCGCGGGACACGTAATCATGCCCCTGTGATATCTTCGTGGACATCGACTTTTAACCACATGAAGACACGCGAGGACATGCTTGAGCATGCATGATCCCTGAAAACTGGTACGATAAGCCAGGCCGCTCCCTACAATCTGGTGAAGTGTTCATGTCACGGCCAACCCCCCAGTCACTGCCACACATTGGCACCACAGCATTCTTGCATGCGACCATTCAACATGCATCTTTCTCGTTCAGTGATATGAGCAAGCTAGCATGATGCCGCACCGCATCAAGCTGTGAGCTCGGAAGCTCTATGGGTACAGACCTGAGTCCCGAAGCTCCAGACATCTTGAATACATACCTGGGTCTTTCAAGTTCTCACTCCCGCAGGTTGAGATGCTAATTATGACTCAATATTGAATGGGCCTTGCACAATGTTACCGAGTTATAGCCTCAGCCGAAGATGGTGGGCCGAACGCTCATTCAGAACAGCATATACAAGCTCTCGCGACATTACCAAGTTGGCAGAGAGATAGCAAAGACATGTTGAGGTGCTTGAGCACCGGATAACAGATTCCATAGATCTCCTAAGGCTATAAGCCCCTATAGACCCCTATAAGCCCGACATAAACCCATCTCATTCCCAAAAGCCAGGGGCCCCCCATTTCAGGGGCTCCCCATCCTCGCCGCGGGAGGTGGACGTGGACTATGTTGCCTGGTTTGGCTCCCCCACAATGCTGCACGTAGCAGCTTACTGGCGCCACATTGGTTTGGCATCTTGGAGGAAGTTCGTGATTAGGAGTTTGGCAATGGGGGCTTCAGGGTTTCAAAATTTTTGGTTCAACGCTTCCCCAGCAAACATGGCACCCCGAAAAAACCTATCTTCGAACATGAACGTCGGCTTTGTAGGGCCTCTTTTCAGATTGACGCTTACAGGGGTGAATGTTGTCATCTTCAACTACAGGACCCGCGCTATTGCCAGACTCCCCAAACAACAGCCGATCGCAAGTTCAAGACGCCTAGCTTCTGCGTTAGTAAGCTTAAGGGTTTAGGGGTTCCGGATTGCATTTAGGAATCGTCGCTTTCCACAGGAGTTTGCGCATTTTCCGTTGGCCCGACACCTTGAAACGTCACATAAAGTCGGGATGAGATTTAGGTTCCCGGAGGCCGAGGTCGATGGATTTTTCTTCTTCTGAACTAATGTGGGATTCCGTGAGGGCGTAGGGTTCCTCAGGAATATTGGCTAGTCTATGTACTTGGGGGTCCATTGGGGGGACCATGAGCTAGAATCCTCCCATGCGCAGAAGGGTGGGTAGCCCGAGACGGGAATGAATTCAGGAACACGGCGTTTGAATCTATAGGGACGGTCACCGTAAAGTAGCCAGACTCGCACAAAATCCTGTGGTCTGGCATCAATTTGATGTACCGGGCCATATATGTCCAAGCACCGCATGGGCGTGTGACTGACTGACTGACTGACTGACTGAAACCCAAAATCCGAAACTCGAAGCCCGAAACCCTAAGATACCCCAAGGGTCCATGGACCCAAATACGAGGGTTTTAGGGCCCAAATACCATTCATATTATAGCATTTGGGCCCTAAAGCCCTAGTAGTCAGGACGTTGAACACTGCAGGCTCTGGATCTTACATTGTCCTAGGTATGAATGCGCTCATGTACCCGGCGTGGGTGTTTGCTTACATGGCTTTTGAGACCCGTGGAATTATATGGCTCTTATAAGCTCCGAGCCCAATACCTTCGTGAAGACCCTAGAAGAATGGAGAATAAAATGAAAGCTACTATACTATATAGGTTTATAGGGGATTTAGGGATCCTTGATGATGTCAGGTATCGCTTTTGCTGACCCTCATAAGGAGAATGGAGAATAAAATGAAAGCTACTATACTATATAGGTCTATAGGGGATATAGGGATCCTTGACGATGTCAGGTATCGCTTTTGCTGACGCGGAAGGCTCCGCTTCAAGCATGTGGGTGGCCTTTCACACAGTTCTTCCCTTGTGCATTTCGAGTTTTACATTGATCCTGAACACAGTGAGCTTTGGGCCATAGACCGAACCTTCAGAGCAGATAGAGATGATAAGCTGAAACGCTCAGAAGACCTGACAGGTAGTATGTTGCCCCTTGGTTTCGCCATGTTTGACCAGTCTTCAACACTCTTCAACCTGTATTTCCGCCAGAACATGTATCTCCAACAAGAGGTCGAATACTGACTTGAGTTACATTCTGCTATTGAAGCTACTGCTATCATCAACATGACGACAGTTGGTGCGATGGTAATCCTTGTTTCGATTGCTGCTATGCGTTGCATTCAACAGGAACATGCCCTGTAGTTGGAACATGAGATTCTTCTCGCAATTTTGTGGCCCAATACTTGGGGAAGGCGAACAGGGAGGGACTGACGGACGGTCATTGTCAGTAATAATGGTGTATCTTCTATAGCCTTTGAGCATTTTATTGGTTCCAGTCCTACGCTGGACGTCGGAGAAATGATAGCGAAAACGAGACATGTGTTCAGCAAGATTCGGGACTAGCTTGCAGATCCTGATGCCTAAGCCCTAAACCCCCAAACCCCTAAACCCCAAACCCCTAAACCCTAAACCCCCAAACCCCTAACCCCTAAACCCCTAAACCCCTAAACCCCTGGCAGGCAAGCACGGAATCGACCCTGAACCCTGGTGGCATCCGGCCGCTGATGGTGGCAGCAGACAGAGGATCCCTTGAGGCTCGTGGGTCATAACTTGGGTGGACCCTCGTTATAGGGATAATGTAGGGGTTATATAGGGATTATGTAGGGGTTATATAGGGATAATGGAAAAGAAAATGGAAGCTACTATTTAGGGTTTAGGATTTAAGGTTTAGGGTTGGGTGGACCCTCCACCCAGTAATAGTGACTATAAGGAATAGTAAGGATTATATTAGGGTCCTCTTATATTCTTATTATACCACTATTACAGGGTGGGGAGTCCTCCCAAGTCATAACCCAGACCCATGATTAATAGAACCCCCTCCCATTCATAGGGATCCCTAAGGGTCCAAGGATCCAAATAATGGGGTCTTGGGGCCCAAAGACCATGAATATTATAGTAGTTGGGCCCTGAAACCCTATTATTTGAGCCCTTGGACCCTTAGGGGATCATAATAGGGGTCCTAATATTTTGGCCCTAAAAAGGGGGGGGTTGATTAATCATTGGTCTACATTACTGTTTTTCTTCTTGTAACGCAGTAGCCACAAGTAGTACACGCATGCATCCACCTGTACGTAGGTACGTACATGCATGCATTTGGAAGAGGCAATATACATATGCGGACATGCTATTGCTAGTGCTATTGATGTTGTCGTGCTCTTGAAATTAGGGTTTCCCTAAACAAGGGGACCCCAATATACTATAGCCCTTTTTGGGGGACCCCCCAAAAAAGGTAGCCCTTATTCTGGGAAACTCGCAAATAGGTCTGCCAGCTCCTCATCAGCTTCCAGGCCGACGTTTGTGCCATGGATGATGCAGGCGAAAGCGCCTGGCAGAAGGCAGCGGCTGATCACAAAACAGGACCCGTAGAACCCCCATATGTTCCCGATATAAACCCTATAATCCTATACAATCCCTTTATATAAGCCCTATATTCTGCCTATAATATACAACCCCTATCATTAAGTTTCAGGCCGTCTTGGCTGGGAATCTGAATGGTAAACCTACACCTTAACCCTACTAAGCCGGTGTTTTGCGTGCTGCGTTGCGAACCCCAAAC